TTTGAAACCTTTGTTTAAAGWGGCATAAAATTAGTTCTCATAGCCAATTGTTATTTAGTTTCAGACAGATGCATACATTTAAATGAAATTCTGCAGTGCTTCAATCCCTCTCAAAGGTGATAATGTGTTTTCCCCTACTTGTGAAATTGTTGTAATTTCACAGTCTTACTTAGATTTAATTGTGTTTATTAAGATTTGAGACAAATGATTCCAATTTTGCTTTGTAGGATTTTTTCTCTTTGTCTTTTAATTTTACTTGATAGTGGTAACATGGAATGTGTAGAAAACAGCAAAAAATAGCAATACATTGTTAAGTTCAATAATTTAACCCAAAGAACTCAGTGCAGCAAAGAAGCCTTTCTTTATATTAGTTCATTAGTTCACTTGACATGTAATTAAAAGAGAGCCACATATTTCTCAGTGTAATTACTAATAAAATGATTTTATAAATGTAGTTTATTATGCTCTATGAGCATTTGGATGGCTCTTTTTTATTCTCTACATAGGCTAAGGATAATAACATCAGATTATAAAATCTCAGGCTATAAAAGTGACAGAATGCTACAAGTTGACAACAGRATAAACCACACCATGAATATTGAGGAACTTGGTAATAAATGCATGTGGTGGCATTTATTGTTAAAATATTTACTTGCCAGCATAAAAATAAAAGCTACAGGCCTTGGTACTGTACTTCGAGTTATGGTCGGCACAGGAGAGACCGTGGAAGAGCAAGACTACATGCCCAAGGGTTGTGTGTTGTTGTGGGATGAAAAGTGAGAACAAAAAAAAAATAAGAATCAAAATTACCCATTTGATGCGTTTGATCTTGATACTTTCTGTGTTCCTCTGTCAATGCTGTGATGAAGAGATTAAAGAGAAACAACAAAGTAAAAGCAGAATAGGGATAAACAAGTCAAGTGGGACTACTCTGGAAGCCAGGGAATGATCACTGGGCTAGGAAAATAAGTTAAATTTGGCCTTCCATTGTGTACCTGTGGACAGGCTCTGTGCTAAGCATTTGGGCATATTAGGAATTTTATCAAGGAAATTAGCATTCTACTCCTGCCACTTCTCAGCCTCCACAAAACACAAACATGGACACAAGCATACCTTGCTAGTTGATGCATGACCAGCTAGACATTGATTAAGTTGCCTTACTGTTCAAGTATAAACACAGGTCTGAGTCCTTGARCAGATATTGGTGGTGCAAAGTTGCACATATCACCCGTGCRATCATATCTGTTATTCAACCATGRACGTTTTAAGTTATGCAAAATTATTTTACTTCTTTTTGATCTTTGAACTGTTGGCTTTTCTGAGCTGGAGATATAGGTCAGTGGTAGAGCACTTGCCAAGCATGTGTAAGGTCCTGAGTTTGATGCTAAGCACCACAGGAAATAAAAAAAAAAAAAAAAAAAAAAAGTGGGGTATCTGTTGGAAAACCAGGCAGGGAGAACAGAAAATATAAAGACAGTGTGGTAGGAATGAAGATGATAGTGCAGAGGAATGGAGCCCAGGGAACTTAGGAGAGAATAATTGGAGGACAAGATCATATAAGTTATGGGGAGTCAAAGACCTTAATGGCCAGTGCAAGGRCTTGGTCTTCTATCCAGGTGAGGTGGGTCTGGTCAGAGGAGACATGGTCTGACTTGTGTTYTAGCAAAATGGTTCTGGCTGCTGGTTTGAGTTTTCCTTCACTGAGGGAAAGAAGCCTGGGTAGAAATGAGGCCAGTCCAGAGGCTGTTGTAGTAACACAAGGAAATTATGGTAGCTGAGTCCAAAGTGGTGATGGTGCAGGTGGTAAGAAGTGGTCAGAATCTGAWTTTTTTTTTTTTGAGATATCAAATGTGTCATGGGGTGACAGAGACAGAGCAATAAGAAGGGAGAGAGTTGAAGGATTACCACAAGTTTTTTTTTGCCTGAGAAATTTGGAAGAATGAAGCTATTAACTGGGATTCAAATGACCATGGGAAAGCTTTGGTTTTTGAGAGGTTAGGAACTTGACTGTCTGAGCCTGGATTTAGACATRTGCACTTTAGCATTCTTTGAAACACAATCTGGGAAATGAAGAGGAATAAGCAAAGGGAAATTTAATAAAGGCCCTGAAAGYTGAAGTACAACACAAGGGATTGTGAGGTACCAGAAGGCAAGCGAAGAAAGTGCAGACCAGAAGACACCCAGAAGATACAGCCGCAGAGGAACGCATCCAAATCAATCATTGCCTGTTTGCATTTTGTGTGAAATTTAGGTTATTACACCTCCTGAGGTGTCTCAAAATTCCTTTACAAGCCACAGAAGTTTACTTTAGGTGTAACCTTTTCATGAATGTGTGAATATGTTTAAAAGCAGGTAAGTAAGCTAGGCCATGTTCATGCCCTGGATGCTCTGGAAACCAGCATGCCTTCTGTTGAGGGACCAGAGTGCAGGTTCATGCTAATCACTGCAWCTCTGAAGCACTGTCTTCTGGGAACACTGCTGCTCAGTAAGGTAGGTGTTCCAATGAATCAAGTAATTTAGTTAACAAGAATCTACAATGTGCAATTTCAATGAATTATCCGTTGGACACAAGTCTATGTGCACTGCAAATGTTGAGATGAAGACTAGATGGAGAGAGCCTCTCAGCCAGCACCTGGARGACAGTGATTTAGATGGGCACCACAGATTCAGGAACTGGTTCTCCTTTTCCCAGGACTCAAGACTTTCTTTCATCCAAACCAAGTTTAGCTGAAGAAATTCCTAGCAATCATGTGAATGGGAGACAGGTTACATAATTAATTAATCAAAGAGAATATGAGATTTGGGGAATACCCAGGTCTCTCTGYTATTATCTGCAAGAAGAGTCATGTATTTCTGTATCACCCAAAACTGAAGTTTATATTATTTAGGATATTAGGCCTTTATGAACAAAATATAAGTATTCTACAGTGTGGTCACTTTTTTTTTTTTTGGCTTTTTGGTTTTGAAAAAGGTCACATTATGATCTGAAACCCTGGGTTGGGAATAAAAAAGACTTGATTCTATTACCAGATACCATTTAGTCTATGACCTTGGGAAACAAAATCTCCAAAGTGCTATGTTCTCCCATTTGACAAATAGGTATACTATGGTTACTAAATATGCTATAACCTTGTGTGAGTATAATGTATGGAAAACAGTGAAGTATTGTTAAAAGAAAATGCATAGGTAATGTGATTTAACTTATGAGTTAACAATTTTAGGTTTTTGTGTTATACTTCTGATTCATATTCTATTTCTCTTTACCATAATATTTAAAGCACATGGATTATGCTGCAGTTAAGGATGTAGCAAGAGAGAAAAGTACAACGTATTAAACAAAACTCTTCACAGTGCCAATACAATTTACCACTGCCTAGTTGATTGTATATAGAAATTAACATCATTATTATGTGTTAGAATTCACCAGTATGCAAAGTTGAAGTTATACTTATGGTGTAGAAATGGTGATGAAAATAGCAATTCCATCAAACTTTTTAAAAATTGATTTTATTTTCCTTTTCAGGATTTAAGGTGTTAAAACTTTTCATTTTGGCCAGATGATTAGAAAGATATATAGATCCACTGATTATTTTTATACTAGAATAATCTTTCATTATTAATCCATTTGAGTCTTATCTCAAATCAGTTCATCAGTGCTAGCAATTAAAAATAGAAAATGCTTGTGCTCAATTTCAAGAATTAAAAAGAATGCCTTGGGAGCAAGCATTTCTTTTCTGTGGTGAGGATTGTTGGATTCTCCAATTAAAGAAGTCTCCATCCTGGAAATGAGTAGTCAATTATGAAAATTATTTTTGAATAGCCAATTTACATATCCCTAATTGTATTCATTTCTTTTGAAAGACCRAATTGGAATTTATGATGTTTTGATTGGTTACCCCCACACTTGTGTTATTAATACTATTGCCAAAAAGTTTCCCCCGATGAATGGGGCTTTGAGTGCCTTTCCTGAATAAATGTTTGAATCATAAGTAGGTTTGTTTTATTTAATGAATGAAAAATATCAAAAGATTTACCAGCAGTTTTCACATTGACACTCGCTGTACTTCATTGAATTGACAGTAGCATCTCTAGCTTCTTCATGAACTTGTGTTGGACTTTTCTGCGTCAGCTATTGAGAAACCTATGAAGTTCCTCTATGGTGGGGTAACCTGTTGGCTAACAACGCAGTCTCACTGGACCTGCCCTTAGGACTTGTCTGCTGTCTGCATGACTAGTACAAATTTTAAAATATTTTGCTGTTATTTAATGAAAAATGACTTGGAGAAGACATTTCAAGTTTTTGAATTAATGATAAGCATTCTCTTTTATGAAATAAAATTAAGAAGAAAATGGATATAATTAGTTTAAAAATGTGAAGGTTTAGTCTCATTGCATTAGCATCCATTGAAGTTAACCTAGTCCACTCAGAGTCAATCATGAAAGAAAAGAATAATTTGAATAAGCATGGAAAAAATTTGGGTATCTACATATACAAGATAAACACAAACTGTTTACAAACAATCTGTAAGAATGTGGGGATTTAGTTGTGTCTAGAAGGACAGATATAATTGGGATTTTGTAATGTGTCTTAGCCTTTGAGTCTGGAATGTTTATGTTCAACTTTTGTAGATTTAACTTTCATTTGGGGGAACATTCTTGAAATAAAGAGATAATGAAGTCTTTTTAGGGATATTAGAGAAAAAGTGGTAAGGGGAAGAGGCAGCCATTTCATTCCTTTAAGAGAGGTAGCCAAAATTGGTTCTCTATTTTAGGAATAGACAAAATAAACAAAAGAACAAACCATTCATTATGTCCTGACCATGGTGTTTATAGACATAATATTATTGAAGAATTAAGAGTTGTGGTACAGTAACATTCAAGTTTCAAGACTGAAGAGGACATTTTCTTTAAAATCAAATAAAGATCACAATCAGCTAGATACAGTGTCCCTTAGATATGTGTGTCCTATAAAGTAATTAGTGTYGTTGGACTTTTTGTAGCTGATTGCTGTGTTTGATGAACAAGAACCTCTCCACAAGTTTGAGAGCCCCAGCGGAAACCCTGCAGATCGGCAGAGCCCAGATGCTATTGAGAAAGAAGTGGCTGCCCAACTGGCCAAATTTAAACCAATTGGTGGGGAAATCGAAGTAACCCCTTCTGCTCTGAAATTAGGTATGTGTATTTTTAGTGGTATGCTTTTCCCCTGGTTGAAAACACATCATCTTATTGACTGTGTGGCTTTTATCCTATTAATATTTTTTTCTTAAAAAAATGGCTTTTCCTTTTCTCTGAAAAATTATATATATATATATAATATATTTGCAGCTGCTGGTGCTCAGGTAAGTAGATGCATTTTTTTTTCCTTGAACTGAAGTGAAGGTGAATCTGAATTGTATGTCCTTGAAGAAATATCGGGGGTGGGGGTGGGGGGAGTCAGACTGTAAATGATGAGGTTGACTGTATCCTCTGAGGATCACATAAAAAAAGTTCCTGAAAAAAAAAGTCATTTGGAGGAGCTAAGGGTTACCAAAGAATCCATACTAGAAATAAAGGTCAGTTTCTTTCTTAGCCATCTTCTTTTTCTTCTAATATATATCTCAGACTCTGGGGAAAATATTTTGAAGTTAGTTTTGAAATTCTTTCCTGCTGCTTTATTCAAACAAGGACAATTCATCTGGTGATTTTTGCTCAGAATTCTTTTTCATGATATTTGTTTTGAAGGTGTTTGTAGAAAGAGAAAATAGACATTCTTGTAAAGTTTTTATCAATTTACAACTCCCAGAGAAAATCATATCAGTTTTTGGTGATACTTCTTAGAAGTTTAGGTCAGTTTAACAGCATGAAGTTTTTGAAAACCCACCAATATTTTGGTACTTAATTTGTATTCCTGTTGAATGTGTTCACACCATTCTGAGAATGTTCAATGCATCTACCAGAGTTTAATTCTCAGACTTGAAGGACAGGCATTTCCCATGTCAAAAAAGGAATCTTACACTTTTGAAAGCACAGCATATGTTTAAAATTGCAAAAGCTGTACATARGACTTAATTTCCCTATTTGAAATAAAATATATACTATTAAGTTGATTTTACATATAACCACACTAAATAAACATGTTGTGTCCTGATTTTCTGAAAAGTATCTCAATGTCCTTTTTAAAACAAATCAAATAAAAAATAATGAMCTGTGGTCTTCATGATTTTCCTCCATCTTTTGGAAACCCAGCTAGTGAAGCAGTCTGCTGGAGTAAGGGTGTTGGAAGGCTCCGTGGCAGCTTTTCTTCCTCTGCAGCCAGGCTGCTGGCTTCAGCAACCTTGCAGCCCCATCATTTATTTGCATAATGGATGCCTTTTTATCCATTATGCAAATGGCATGAGAGGAAAATTAGGCAGTAAGGGAAGACGAAAGGAGAAAATTGCTCTTGCTTGTTTAGATGTTCTATTTATAAGCAAGTTCTAGGGTCTTCAAAAGTCTGCACCTCAGAGTAACCCCTGTGCCTGGAAATTTGTGTTTACCTTTCTCTTRTAAGTTTTTTCAGGAGAAAATTTTGTTTTGTTTTCCCTTAGCACTTTTGCATTTCTTTGTTTGGACCATCTGAGCAACATTAGCAATGTTGAGTACAAGAAGAAAGTGAGCTGAGGTCCCCCTTCTTTAAAATTAGGCTTTCAGTTTTCCCCACACTGACTACAAGACAGGGATAGAAGATAATACTAAACGGGGGACTACATGCCAGGCACTGAGCTGAAGGCAGTGCTCTGAGTAACCTAAACACTTGGCTCAGAATGACTCATTTCAGTCCCATGATACCTAATGAGATTTTTTTTGTTCACACAGCTATTAGGTGACTAAGCCAGAATTCGAACACTTGATGGTTCCAGTGTCAGGAACCATTTTACTGTTCTGCCTCTGAATAAGCTACTCATAATATAATAAATTGATATAACTTTCCTGGAGTTTACTTTGTGAATATATACCAAAATCTTGAAAAGGCTAACTAAATTCCTTGGCTGACAAATCCAATTGCACTTAATGAAGGATTAAATGATGAGATTAGCTAACACTCACTTTTGGGTGATTAATTATTRCCTTCCAGCCTTTTGGCCCAAACCCTTGGCATCCTCTCCATCTTCTCTTTTTGCCCCCACCATCCTCCCTTCTGTGCTGCTTAGCTTCCGTGTCCACAGCCAGGGTGTAGGCCAGAGATTCATCATCTGTTACATCCTTGCAGAGGCCTCAGATGGACCTTTTCCCTTACAGTGCCTGACCTCTTCAATCCCTGCTGATGCCAGGCTACCTTTCTAAATCACAGATCTGATTATGTACTCCTCTGCCTAAACAACCTTTGGTGTCTCCCTATTGTTCCAAGAACCATGTCCAAATTCATTAGCAAGCCAGTGTACATGGTTTCTCTGAATTGGCTGGAGGAATTTGGACAGAGATAATTATAGATTAAAAAAAATCATTCCTTCTCCATCTTCATGGTTTAGCAGATTGATTTTTTTTTTCTGGAACTTAAAGAACACAGTAAACACACATTTATCAGGTTTTCAGATACAGAAGTAAAAAGAGGAAAGCAAAACAGCCAGCTCTGGTGTACACCCTATTCCTGGCCTCAGGGCAGGACTTGGTCACAGGCCAGGCATCTCAGGATRGAGTGATATGGTTGGCAATAGATGTAGTGTTTGTGGCTTTTCTGGGAGTGACCCGGTGGGTTGTCAGATCTACACTGAAGTTCCCTCTAGATGCAGAATGTGAGAAGGCAGGCAGAGGAGGACAGGGCTTGTATTCYAGCAACCCACCATGACAGAGTGATTATAAAGTACAAGTCACTGAACCCCAGGCCTTTGTTGTTATTCACCACTTAGCTCCCACAGGCCATTGGAACTGGTTGTACTTCTTCCACGAGTTCTTTCACCCAGGCTGGAACAGCAGATGCAAGGCCTAATTCTTGCTAGTTTTCTCATGATTAAGGCCCATTCAATAAAATAGAAATTTTACTCAGTGCCTGCTTACATGCTTTTTTACTTAAGGCAAAAGAATTTTAAAAAAATATTAGGAATCAACATATTTTTACATCTAGGCCATGCTGTCACTATAAATTTATCTGTTTTACTGGCTTACGAAATTAAAATATTTTCAATGTTCAGTAAAATTTTTGTATCTCCTTTTTCAACCCAAGATAGCTCTGAACAGGGCAGAGGCTGTGGCTCAGTGGCAGAGCGCTGTGAGGCACTGGGTTTGATCCTCAGCACCACATAAAAATAAATGAACAAAATAAAGATATTGTGTCTATGTAAAACTAAAAAATAATTTTAAAAAGATAGCTTTCAACAATATTCTCATAAAAACTAATAACTTTTCCTATATGGTGCATAAAGAGATTGTCCCTGTTATCCTTCCTTTTACCTCCAAGATGAAATACCTTATACACAGGATACTTATTGCATGAAATTCATTTGCACTGGCTCTTTGTGACCTAGCTGCTTCCTCTTTGCCCACCCTTCTTGCTGGCCACCCTTCCATGGCCAACATAACCTGTAAACATCGTGAGTCACTTGCCATTTCCCAAATTGACTACTTTCAAACCTCTGTGCCTTTGCAAGTACTGTTCCCTTTGCCTGCCTTGCCCCTGCAATTCTGTTTTATTTTTTAACCTGATAAAAAATGCATCTTTTAAGCCCAAACTCAAATATGACCTTGTTTATAAAGACTTGTTCAAATRTTTGAGAATAGTATCAGAAGTGTACAATAAATATATTTTTAAATATTCATTCAGCAACAAAGAGTCACAAAGGTGAACATCAGAAATCTTCTACCAATCTAAAGGGGTTTGTGGTTTCATGCCCTGTATGTTAATAGGGCATATACATATGAAATATATTTAATTAATATATAGGATATATATTTAWACATATATATAAGTATATATATATATATATGTAATTGGTAAGCAGAGTTTTAAATCAAGTGGGCAACTGCATAGTTCCAACCTCATTTATCTAAATTATTTCCTACCATTCCTTTTCTAACAGATTTTTTTTTAATGAAATGACTGAATAACTGAATCCTGACTTAGTCATAACTAGAATATTATCCAACACTTTAAGATTCTATGTTTTTTTGAAACTGTCCAATGCCCTTTACCATATACTTTAGATATTGATAACCTAAGAATTTACTTAAAAGAAGATACACAGTGGACAAAACACTAAGAGTAATAGCAAAAAGTCATATTTAGAGAATTCATTTGCATTTTTAAATCACCTAGTTTAAGGATTTTCCAATTCTTGACTGTGGAACTAACCCTGTAGTTTTTCTGAGCATATTTCAGTGATTCAACAAATATTTAATTCTAGTGTTTTGAATCAGTGGAACCCCACCTTCAGTTCCCCCAAAGGGATTCTGCAGCCATAGCCTGAGGTTGCCCCAAATCCCTGTCCCTTGAGAAATAGTGATATGGAGCTGGTCCCAGACCAGTATTTGAACTAGCTGTATGTCCTAGGAAAGTCATTTCACCTGCCTCTATCAGGACAACATTTTTCTTTTTTCCAAATAAAAAGTAAAGTAGAGAAGGACACATTTGGATTTCTACAAAAGTGAAAACTCAGAATCAAGGACATCAGGCTACCATCTCTTGTGTCTTCACCATATTCTCTGGGCCACATTTTCTTATCTATAAAGCAAGTCTRTCTTGCTCCAGTGGACTGTGATCATCCCAGGAGTATTTCATTAATACCAAGCTGAGTTTGAATTTAACTCCATGTTCCTGTCAATTTATCTCCCATGGTCCAATTAATTAGTAGTTTTATTTTGTGCCTTTTGATAATTTTTCTCAGTGCTCCYTGATTGAAATTTGTTATTTTGAGTTCAAGCTTGCACAAGAAAATATTTCTTTAGTTATAATTATTTTAGCAATGCAATTTCAATAGTGTTTCAAGATAAAAAGAACTTTAAATTTGGCTGTTGCCACTTGTGTGATCTTTGTTACCTAGATGTAAAGCAATCTGATTAAAGTTAGGAGCGAACTAGTATGAGCTTTATTTTCCTCTTTGTGTTAAACTTTGAAGATGAGCTACTTTCTATTTGAAAGTGATTCTTGTTTCTGAGACTTGAAAGGTGCCTCCGATGCTTTATTGTTTCCTTGTGTGTTTGTGCTTCTTCAAAACAGAAAT